TACTCAGAATTAAGATTAATACATATATGACCATCATTGATTAACATTGAATACTCTATTTAATAACGGAATTTATTAGAGATTCATAATTAATCGCGTTCCGGTCCTATGTAATCATATTACATAAAATGCTTTCATTCCAATAATCTCATTATTAACAATCTAGGATAAGATTATTTCATTCAGAATGTAATGAACCGCATTAGTAATTTTAAATTAAAGATCCCAACTTTAATTTATAATTACGGACAAGTTTAGATTATTTTATTTCAAACATTATCCTCTGCATATAACAATTATATATAATGTTTAAAGTTACATCAAAAAATAATCTAGAGATTTTGATATTTATAAAACATCACATGTCTAATGATTTACTATTCATATCGGTACAAATAATGGTTATTCTAATGGAGTGTAATGGAACATAATATAAATATAATCGGAAAGGTAAAAGTGTTGGTTTCCGAAACGATTTCGGATGCGGAAGCGTGTATCTACGGATCGTGTATAACAAAAATTTTCATGAAACTTTTGCAATACTCTATAGAATATATTTAAATTTATACTCGAATAAATTAATCTAATTAATTTATTTACCTAGCGAACGATTATGTCAATAACTTAAGTTCTTTAACCACGAACAATTCTCTTTCCAAGCTTTCTAGAAGAAACCGAATCTTCCTCGTCTAGTCCTTGATACCTGCAAGATCTAGAGTATGGACTCTAATTTAGAATTATAGGATTGATCACTCGCTAATTTTTGCTAATTTAGAATTTTATCTAATATGTATTCCTCCACTATTAACGCATGCATGTGAAGGAAAGTTAGAAGAACTTTTCGTCTCTCTTTTTCTCTGGGAAATTCGGCCACCTATAGGAAATGAGAGTGAAAATTGTGTTCTCCAATTTTCTATTGTCTCCTATTTATAGAACACCAGGAAGACCCATTTTTTTTAACTTGAAGACAAAGTAATAGAAAATTGATTATTTTAAATCTCATTTAAAATATAGTTTCCCATTTAATTTTAAAAACAAAATTCTCCCTTACCTTTTACTATATGGCCAACCACACCTCAAAAAGACCTCCCTGTGGTTGGCGCAAATAGCAAGTAGGAGAGAGAAAAATTTTCTATTTTATCCAGTTTCTAATTTTAGTTCAAATTCAAATTTAAATAAAGTCAAATTTTACTTTCCTTTTTGAATTTGATTGTAAAACTTATCAAACAAGTAAACCAGATACCTTAAAGAATAAACAACTGAATCTCAGTGTGTATCACCCTATGCAACACACCCCTACACCTTTCTGTGTCTGGGCATGTGGCCTCCTGTGGTTCCACCCCAGTGTGTTCTAAAATTAATTTAATTAAATAATCTCATTATTTATTCCGAGTGATATTAAATCCCAATAATTTACCTTGTCTTGCAAATATTACAAGGACGATGCGGGAACTCATAGACCTCTAATTTCGAGCTCTAAAATAATAATAATTAATTAAACTTGTTAATTAATTAATTACTTTCATTAATTTTAAAAGTTACTCCACTAAAAACTTGAAATTGCACTCTCGAAATTATAGACAAAATTTACTTATAAGAACTTAAAGTGTCTATTTGACATAGTCACTACATATATATCAATCTTCCATAAATAATTTATAATTAGAGCTAGGTAAAATTCGTTAACCTCTCTATTTACATCTTTATCCTTGAGTACCATTGATTCTCTAATAGATACTATATTCATAAAACACATTCATAAATATGGGCTTGTTACGTATTCAAGTAGTGAATCAATTCTCAAGGGAATTATTTATCTACTTCTTCAAAGAAGAAGGAATGGATTCAATCTCGTATATTAGCATTTTTGGCCACCCACTTCATTATGTCTCTAAGATACAAAGAATAGAATTTAGCAATTTTGAAATCCGTGCTGAGTAAGTCAAAAGACACAAATCCATAAATAGGAATCTGCTAATAACTCAGGATTAAGATTGTTTTATATATGACCTTTGGTAGACTTAAATTTGATTTTCTATACTTAATGAAAATTATCAGAAAATCAAATTGTGCCTGTGTCCCAGTTCTACATAATCTCATTATGCATAATACACTCATTCAATATCTCTCTATATTAATGATACGGATAACACCATTCCATTCTTAATTGGAGTGATGTATATTAGTAATGTTATAATCAAAGATTCTGTAAATTTAATTAAATTCATTATGAACATTATTTCGATTATTGTCCCTAAATATTATCCTCTCGTATATAACACTTATATACAATATTAAAGGTCACATAATTAATTGCAAAATTTTTAATGATATTCATAAAGTATTCAATAATACATGCACATAAATAATGAATAAACTATTTTATTAATTAAATAATAAATATACTTATTACATCTCATGCTTCAAAAATACTATTCTTAACATACTTGTCGGTGAGCAATATTCTCATGATTATAAGAGTTTAATCTATATACATATCCATCGAGTCCTTTTGCTACCTCATATATTTTCCTGATACAATACGACATGTTTTCGACATATTGGTAACTTATATTATTTTCTCAATTGGTTATAAATCGGATGAAATTAATTTATGAGTAATTTATCAATTAAATTAATTTAAGATAAATTGATTAAATTAATATTTTTATTTTTATTTGATATGGGAATGAATGTATAATATTGTTTCAATGAGATAATTTTTACATTGAGTTATTTGAATTAAAATTGAATTTGTATACAAAATTCATGGATCAAATAAAAGATCAAAACCTGGGGAAAACTAGGTCAAATTAACCAGACGAATTTATGAAAGATAGACTATGTCCGTCATTCATTCGATTAACCGAATAATGGTTTCAGGTTAACCAAACGATGCCATGTAGGCACCGGCTATTTGCGATTTATATCTCAATTTTGATTTTGAAAATTACTTTAATTGCGAAAATAAGACCTTAAATTGTTTCATTAAAAATTTTATAATTCGCTTTGCAATTTTTTTTCCCTGTTTTCCAACAACTACAGTTGATTTTTTGTGAAGATATGAACTTAAGCCTGACACATGATGTTTCTAACTGCCGTTTAGTTCGTTGATTCAAGTTTTTAATTCGAGTTGAGATGTGATTTTATGTAAAAACTTTTTACTGTAGCAAAAAAATTAGATGTGACTGTTTCTGAGAGCTTTTTATTGTAATAAAACTCGAATTCTAAACTCAAATCGGTAAAATAAACGAGACCTAAATATTGAAACCTTTGAATTGAACCAATAAAATCACGAAAGTTGTTCTAGAAGTATTCAAGGCTAGTTGGGCATATCTGACGTGTATACACTAACTTAAGTGAAAGTGTTGGAATCTACTGATAAATTCTGAATTTGCAATACTGTTTTGATTTTATTTTTATTGTTATTAACTGGTAAGATAATTAGCCAACAATTTTAGGTACGATTTAGAGGATTTTCTTGTCCTTATTTGGTAATAATTTGTTAGACTCCTCTAAACATTTTGTAGATTAATGAAAAGTTACTTGATTTTTCTATGTTCAAAAGAAGTTTAATTCAATTCAATTAGTTAAAAATTAGAAATTGATGAATTTTTCCATTAAATGTAACAGATAAGTTTCAAAGTTCGTAGACCATACCGACAGTGTGCAGGGAATAAAGTAAACATTGTTCAAGGAAAAAAGTAAAATATATATTTAAAAACAATTACGTTAATTGGTGAAATTTAGAAAAAAGTATTTATGAAAATTATTTTATGTTTGAGAATATTTTTGAGAATTACAGAAAAAAGAAATTAAAAGCATATTTTAGAGGATTGTTTTGGGTTAATTTTACAAATAGTTCTTAAGATTTATTCTCAATCTCACTTTGATCTTTAACTTTAAAATTGCTAACAGTTTGTCGGTCATTCTATTATTTAGTATAAGAAAATAAAGATTAATTTTCACATATAGTTCTAAAATTTTAACTGTTTTCATATTTCGTCCTTAATTTACACAGACTCAAATGAATTTTAACGCCTAATATACGGAAAGGCCAAAACTAAAATTAAAGCCTCGTTCAATTTGCCGATTTAAGTTTTTAATTTAAGTTAAGATGTGACTTTATGTGAGAATTTTTAACTGTAGCAAAAAAGTTAGATGTGACTTTTTATGAGAGCTTTTAACTGTAGCAAAACTGAAATTAAAAACTCAAATACATAAAATGAACGTGGTCTAAAATAAAATAAAAACTTTAAGTTTGTTTATTTGACAACTCAAGTTTTAACTTGACTTGTTAACATAAAAGTTAATTTTGAATTTTTGAGGGTGAAAATACTGTAGCAATATATTTGTAACATGAAAAGAATAATTAGGGCTTATTCATTTGTATTTTTTGAGTTAGGGTGACTTGAGTTTAGATCTTAATTTGAGTTAAGATGTATTTAAGTATGGTTTGAGGTGAGATTCTAATTTCAATTTGTGTTTGGATGTGCACTTTTTGAGTTATAGTTTGAATTGAGAATTCATTTGAATTTGTGTTTGAGTGAGTTAAAACTTGAATTTATATTTGTATAGTATTTTAATAAAAACTCAATGGTGATGAAAAATTTTAATAGGGTATATAGGTGGAGTTTTATTCGTCTCTTTATTGTGAACATATAGAAAAAAAATCATCTCAATCGAAATTAAAATGAAAAAATTATGACGTTTTTAAAAATAGAAAACTAATGTTTATTAACTTGAGTTTGAATTTAAGAACTTGAGTTAAAAGGAAACTTGAACGTAGATTTTAACTTTAAATTCAAGTTAAAACTTAAGTTAAAACTTAAATTTTATAAAATAAAGTGAATTTGAATAAAATTATAAGTTGAGTAAATTTTTTTTTTTTTTGAGTTTGACTGTAAACAAACAAGGCATAAGACATTTGAAAAGTCAAAGGACTGACTTTTAAAATGCATTTTGAAAGTATGTTAAAGACAGCAAACTCCTCTGGCCCCTTTACTCAGTTCCAATGCCGAGGAAACGCCGAAATTCGCACTCTCTGGCGACCCCAATGCCGCATTTTTCTGCAATAATGCTTCAGTTCCCCATTCCTGGACACGAACTGGTAAATTTCTTTTTTTTTCCCTCTTTTTTTTTTTATCTGGGTTTTTTTCTTTATCTACTCCTTATTCTTTAATCTAAATGCATGCAAGTCCAAAATTAAACTAAATGCGAAAGAATTCTTTCTAGTTGTCTGTCATAACTTACATTATCTCTACCATCTAACCATCCAATAACTCTAATGGATTCTGGGCTTTGTTTTTTAATCCTTAGTTTTCCTATTTGATGTTAAGCAAAATGAGCAACTACATCTGTGGGATCCTTAAGATCACAATGTTATCTGTATTTTCATGAGTCCGGTGGGTTTGATTAAACTTTTACCTCAGAGGCAAGAAAGGTGATTTCTATGCATGAATATTTTTCTCCAACTATATACATGGGACCATTGTATAACGAACTTGTAATGTTGAATGGCCAGAAATTTGTGGGAAAAAACATGGAGAGTTGATTTATCACAACATGCATACCTATCTAATGTTTAGTTAGCTAAAACATTAAGCACTTTTATTTCTTTATGGAACATTTTCAGCAGTTAACAATTTCTTAATTTCATATGTAAAGAATTGATCAATAAACTAACAGCTTTAATCAAGATGCACACAGAAAAGGAAACTGCAGCGAGAAAGATGCCAGAAACATTTAAAAAAAAAAGAATTAGAAGAAGAAGAAAAAAGACAGATCCATGGCCTAAGAATTTAAAAAGACCAAATAATGAATGGAAGTTAAAATTCACCAGAGATTTCAAAGTGGGAAAACTTTGCATATAGAAGGAACAAGATCTCAATCTTTTTGTAGATTTGCATCTTGGTTTTATTTCTATACTTTTCATTTTGCAATTAGAAGTAAAAGAGTCTGAATTGTATATGGCATCTTCAGATGATCCCAGTAAAGTCTGCAATGAAATTTGGTAAGGATTTGTCTGAGGTTGCTACTCTTATTGTTCCTAATGGCCGATCTTGGCAAGTAAGACTAAAGAAAGACGGGAAGAAAATCTGGCTTCATGAAGGTCTGCAAGAATTTGTAGAATATTACTCTGTCCAATATTTCTACAATTTACACTTTAGATATGAAAGGAATTCGGTATTCTATGTTTGTATCTGCGATGCATCCGGTTCTGAAATTGACTATCCATGTGATAGTCCAAACAGAGGTCATGTAGTGCCCGATTTCAGAAAGCATCATGAGGAGCACATCGGAGGTGATGATTCTGTTGAAATTTTGGATACCAAACCTTCCATTTCTCTTGGTTTGCGTGTTAAGGATGGAGATGAAGATAAAAAAGATGTTGAAGTTGTTGAGATTTTGGATATCAAACCTTTTGCCTCCAATGGAGGTGCGGAGCAAGATTATTCTAGGAAAAACCACATACGTCTCTTTCAGCAGAAAATAGGCAGGCATACTAGCCGTTGCCAAAGTCATACTTCTAAGGATCCTCCGACTTCTGGGGTAGCCTACTGGACGAGTAGAAGCTGTAGAAAAGAAAAGCAGGCAGACCTAAAAGAACCGGCCAATGACAATGTTCCTGGAAGAGGTCAAGCTAAAGAAAAGAAGAGGTCACATGCACGTGCTTTCCCAGCGAAAGAAGATGTTGAAATGCTTTTTCCCAGAAGTTTCTCCTACACTAAATCGCGAAGACTAATGAACTCTAAGGAAACTGAGAGGGCGGTTCGTGCTGCTAGTGTGTGCAAGCTTAAAAACCCTTCTTTCATGGTTATCTTGCGATCATATAATCTATGTCACAGCTATGTGGTAAGTGATTAGCAATGCATAGATCTTCTTTTTGAATTTCTTCAGTCTCAACTATTTTACATCTTGTGCTTATTAGTTTCGATTTTGTTTTCCTATTTTGATCTAGAATATGCCAGAGGAATTTGTAAGGAGACACTTGAACCAGTGCTCTGAGGATATCCAACTTCAGGCTAACAATGGGAGAAGGAAATGGCCTGCTCGGTGCTATTACCAAGTCAAAGACGGTTTGATTACCTCAGTCAAGAAAATAGGCAAAGGTTGGGGTCCATTTTCAGCCGATAATAATCTGCAGGAAGGAGATGTTTGTGTTTTTGAGCTGACCAAGAAGGGGAAGGATGTGAATGTTCTGAGAGTCTGGATTTATCATGCAGCTGATTATGCAAGGTCAGCACAGAAAAGGTTCAAAGCAAAGTAACTTGTCTAAGAGCAGCGTTTGATGAAGAATTTTGTCCCAAAATAGTAGTAGCACGCCTACTTTTGGTTTCTGTGTTTTGTTTATTGGCATGGCTCACTCAAATATGTCTCAATATTTGTATATAATCTTTGTACATGTTGCTGCTAAATTAGGCACTACAAACTCCAAACTGCCTTCGTTTTGGAACAGGGTTCAGAATATATATGCAGCTGTAACTTCTATAAATTAACCAAAAAGAAGGGGAAAAAAAAACTTTTGTATTTACTTTGTTTTAGAAACGTGTAGATTTGCATGTGTTCTTCTCAGGTACATAATTAGCTTCATAAAACCGTTTATTATCGATTTTTCTTTTACTTACTCGTAGTACTGAGGTACTTGTCTGCCTAAGGCAGTCGAGGCACGTGCATCATGCTATTCCTAGTCTGTCAAATTTTTCTTCTGCACAAGCATTTGATATGTTGATGATTTTGGTATATGATCTAAACAATGTTTTAAGTTTAGATCAGTTTGCTTATTTGATATGATAATGACAACCGTTAGGCCACTCAAAAACTTGACCTTTGCTAAATGAAACAAAAAGATCAAGCTGAAAAGAACTATAGCAAAGAGAATAAATTTTTTTCCTGTGGAGCTCAAGGCATACCGCGACGTGAGGGGTCAAAGATTAGACCACTCAAAAACTATGACAACATGACTGATGGACTGGCCTTGAGCAAGAGGCACACACCAAGAGATCAGGGTTAGACCACTCACAACTTTGATCGATTAGACCACTCAAAAACTATGACAACATGACTGATGGACTGGCCTTGAGCAAGAGGCACACACCAAGAGATCAGGGTTAGACCACTCACAACTTTGATCGTCTGTTTGCTACATCAGCCTTGGCTACGTCTTAAAGGGTTGAGACCTAACTACGCAACGGTTGTTGGGATGACCCCATAACGTGGTAGGTTGTTTGATAAGGAAACCTATCTACGCAACCGTTGTTGGGATGACCCCATAACGTGTTAGGAACCTAGCTCAGAAAATCAGCCAAATACCAATTCCACACTCACACACACCAGAAATAACAAGAAAATGAGAATAATCAGATGAAATTTTATTAATCCAATCTGTCAAGAACACTAAATTACACTGAAATGTAAAGGATAAAACGGAGAATTCGAGTACTCCGGGAACTCCTAATTTGGTGGTATTCGAGAGACCACCGCTCTCCCAAATCTCAGTCTCTCAAAACTCTGAAAATCACAACCTACCTCTAGTGAGCTACAAAGCCCTTTATTTATACTAATTCCTACTAACTATACCAGCCCACTAACCAAACAAGTTCCCAAGTCATTAACGGATCCTAACATTACCTCCTCCCCAAAGAAACACCTTGTCCTCAAGGTGTTAAGTAATCGTAGCCGTGTGACTCCACTTCCTTCCGATTTCTATCACGCCAATTCCTTTCAACCCCCTTTTGCCACCCCGCTCTTTGTAGATCCAACCCCAATCGGACCGAAATAAGAAGACCCAGTCCAAATGTCACTGGAATTGTCCTTAATCGCATTGGAAGTGTGCAGCCCAGCTTTAACGGCATCGGAACCAACCCAAATCACGCCGGATTTGAGAAACCCAGCCCTTGGCTCGCCGGAATATGCCCTAATCGCACCATAATCATGAAGCACAGCCCCAATTGCAAGGAAATCAGCCCTAATCACGCTGGAATTCCGAGACCCAATTCTAATTGCTCCAAAATCATCCCTCATGACACTTGGATTCCAAGTCCCAGCCCTCCCATCGAGAGACCCAGCCCCCAAATCGCCAGAATTGATCTTAATCGCGTCAGAATTGCAAATCCCAGCCTTCATGGCGTTAGAACTAGCCCTAAGTACACCAGAATTGTGAATCTCATCGCTGAGAGTGCTTGGTTTCATCCAAACTCCATGCAAATCTTCTGGGTTAGTCAACGGATCGTCGTCCGTCGCCCTCTCCTGACGGTCGAGACCTCCTTCCACCCTCCTCCCGTCATCGAACAAATCCTCGCGCTGCAGATCCGGACCACCCAGCCCCAGATCGCAACGGAACTCGCGCTCCTCCATGAGACCTTGGCCTGAAATGTAAAGGATAAAACGGAGAATTCGAGTACTCCGGGAACTCCTAATTTGGTGGTATTCGAGAGACCACTGCTCTCTCAAATCTCAGTCTCCCAAAACTCTGAAAATCACAACCTACCTCTAGTGAGCTACTAAGCCCTTTATTTATCTTAATTCCTACTAACTATACCAGCCCACTAACCAAACAAGCTCCTAAGTCATTAATGGATCCTAACATAACGTGGTAGGTTGCTTTATCTTATCAAACCTCACGAGACGAAGTCAAAATGAAAAAAGAGAAGGAAACCTAAAACAATCAAACATGAAGCGTAAGAGGCAAAGGTGATCGAAAAATAAATAAATAAGCGAAGTAGACGTGAGGGGGGGCCATCCCCGAGACCCCAGCAGCCATCCGGTCTAAGCTCTAAGGCCCCCATGAGACGTACAAATTATCTCTCACGTGTTAGTGTATGCTTCAAGGTGTTGAAGGAATCCCACTTGATACCAAAATAGTGTGAAATGGCCGTGACACCCTTCAAACCACAACCAAGTCTGATTTCCCCAGCAGGTGTACGATTTTGGCGCCACTATAATTTCGACATGCCTTACCATTTCACACAATGACAACATTCCACCACAATTAATTCAAACACGAATTTTTGGAGCTTCAGAATACCCTTTACATGTGGACGACAGACACAATGAAAGGCGGAGCCCGAAGCCGAGTTTTGGAATGAACAAGGTATGAGCATAGTGTTAGGACAACTCCTCCCAACAGTTTCTTTTTGTTATGTTACTACACAAAGGAATACATGCAATAGCTTAGATTGCATTCATATTGATCGATTTTGGGTTAAAAGAGATCCTTTCTTTCTCTCATATTGTACCGTCTGAATTGTTTGCCTCCGTTTGAATCAAATCCATTTTTGTTTAGAAAAAAATAGAGATATAGGAAATCCAATATCCTAAATGGGGCCATATTTTATGTTTTTCACACTTTTTGTTAATTAGACTTTTTTGCAGGGATCCCCCTCCATTTCACGAGTTTGGCAAATTGGTCCCTTAACGTTTTTTCTTGACAACTCACCTCTTAAACTTTAAAATTTATTGCATTGTTAGTCAAATTGAAAACGAAGTTAAAAATTTAGATGGTATCTTCCACGCAAGTGTTTAATAAGAATAATCCTAATCTTTTTGCATCAAATTGAACCCTTTATACTCGTCGTGAATGAAATTTTTTTTTGAAATTAGGGGACCCCCAATTTTTCTCCTATAACAATTAACTCTCAATTTCAAAATTTTTTTTGCTTGTGATGCATACATAAGAATCAATTTGATGCAAAAAAGATATTAATTACCCTTATGAAACATTCACGCGGAAGATATCATCTAATTTTTAATTTATTTTCAATTTAACCAATATTACAACAAATTTTAAAATTTAAAGGGTAAATTGTCAAGAAAAAAAATTAAAGAACTAAATTACCAAATTCATAAAATTGAGGGGTGTCCGTGCAAAATAACCTTAATTTTTTGCGCTACAAGGGCACAATCTAATAGTCAATTAGTGTATATGACTGGCAGTCCATTAGTGTATATCACTGGTTCATATTTTTCAATAGATTCCAGTAGTCCGAAATAGTTTCATAAACATTTTAAGGGCTGAGTCTTTTTTTTTTGGGTGTATTTTTTTCGTTTCAGATTATAGTAGCATTTATTTCTAGCAGCTAAAATCCAATTTAGAGTGACTGAAAGATAAAATATCCATTCTTAAATTTCCTCGCACAAAAATGACAAGTTCTATCAAACGTTTTATTTGGTGTTGAATGAACTAATCCTTGTAAATATCGATTGATGGTAATTTCAAGATTTCTCATAGTTTGAACCGGATAGAAGAATAGACGTCATCTTCCTCTTGAGTAATTAGTAATTACGCATAAAATATGCCTTTCATTTCCTTGCAAATTGCAATCATTATTGTGAAAACACAACATTTACAACAATCACGGGTCTGAACTTTGAAGAGGACAGATTGAAACAAACAACAAATCTTGTATCTTTTACCCACAAAAACATTAATAATAAACTTGTAGTTAACCTGTATATCATGAGTAGTTAATAGTTGTCTCAAGCCACCAATCGCCATATATAACTGCAAAAACCTGACATACTTAAAAACATCTGCTTCAAGATGTACACATTGTGGAAAGACTGATGTAGCAGAAACCTGTTTGTTTGTTTTTTTTTTTTTTAAATAGAAAAAAAAGTCAAATAATAGAAGAAATAAACCCAAAAATGACTACAATAATACTAGAAAGTAATCTTTATGGGAGCATCTAGAGAGATAATACATCATATGTAGCAGCACAGCCAACAAATGTGCAATACTTTTGCTATTATAATTTTCTTGTGCAATTTTTTTTCCTTCTAAAAAAGAAAAATCTTCAATTTTCAAAAGATTTGAGGGTCTCAATTTTCATGTATTTTTAAAAGTCAACTATGAACCGCTTAAGAGCCTGGGGGTTGTGGGATCACAATTGAAATCATCATTTCTTATTTGCAGGGAACATGCTTTTTTTTTTCTTTTTTTAAATAAAAAATGGATATTTATCTTTTTACAACCCCTATTTCAGGTTTGTTGAAAACCTACACCTTTATTTTTTAACCTCTCTAATTAAATTTAATATATAAATCTATACTTTATTTCAGTCAATAATTAATTTTGACTTTTAAAATGACATACTATCCTTACAAAAAAAGCTAAAACTTTCAATAATTATATATAGATATATATATATATATATATAAGAGTTTAAAAAAAAAGCACACATTAAATGGTAAGTTCAAGGTTTTATTTTATTTTATTTTTTTATATTTCATTTTTCTATTTTTGCTATAATGTCAAAATGATGGGTTGACCTTGAAGAAGTATAGATTTCTTATTTAAAGGTATGAGATAAAAAACCAAATGTAGGTATAGATAAAAAAGTAGAACTATAGGCTGAAGAACCAAATGCACAAGCGTTCGGGAATGCGGATTGATAAAGGAAATGAAAAGGAAGGCAAAGTTACCTCTGCACTTAACCATTTTTTGACGAGTTACTTTCTGTCATTGTTTCCCTCTATTGTTCCATCTATTAGCATGGTGCCTTCAACGGATTCTCTTACTCTTTCTCTGGCAGGCGAATGTCGCATAGGTTCTCGAATCTGACCATCCATTCGTCCATTTCCACCGGAGGACCTTCTCAGGGACTCTTTCACTTCAGTTTCAACTGGAAAATATGCCCCTAGAACATGCCTTCTTTCATCCTCTGTGCTCTTTAGATTATTCTCTATATCATCGTAATCCAAATTCCGCAAAATATTTGGAAGTGGAAAACCACTGTCCTCGGCATGCCTTGCTCCCATTTCAATGTCGATTTTTTCTTTTGAGCTCATAACACCTTCACCAAGATCGGGAGTCACAGATGTCACCATCACATGCTCATCCTCCTCAATGAATGACCGGAATTTATTCATTGATCGGGGGATGCTAGAGCAAAAAATTTCCGCACAGTTCCCCGTTGTTCCCTTGTGATATGGGTTCTCCTTCTTATCATATCGGTATCGGAAGTTCTCATAAGTAGTCTGCATAAAAAGACGAGAATAATGACTTCAAATGAGAAATTATTTTGTGAGAGAGTGACGAGAAATTCTCAAAAGCAAAGAAAACAGAAAAAGACAACCAAGAGAACAATGAAAAGAGGAAAAGGTGATAACATGTATTTGCAAGATAAGCTCAATTATGATAACGGTTTATTTTGCGCATTTCTCAAACTAAAAATTAAGGTAATTTATTTGACTCCAGTTGGACAAAAGGAAGAATTGGGTGCTCAAAATGGTTATATGCATAAATTCTTCTAAGATGAAAAATATTTGCTTTTAAGGAGGGAAATTAAATCGAGTCGTCTGCAGCTTGCAGCTCAAGGTGTGAAGGACCAAATTACTGGTATCAATTAGTTCTATCATAATAAATATATATGTTAGACCCCTACTGAAGCAAGTTTACACTAGGAGGGGCAAAACGGGTAGAAAACACAGAGTTAGGGGCCTAAGGGAAAATATTGAAAGTGGCTAGGATGAGCTGATGTGGCAAGGGGGCTACTCTGGGAGCAATTTGAATGGGGGAAGGGCAGTAGGTTTAGGCAGTGAGTATTTTCATCTTTTGAGTGTTGGGTGTGTTGCTGAAACGGCTGGGAGTGCCTCTGAGCTTGAAATGTCTGATCTATCCTTTATATTTCAGTGTAATTTGGTGTTTTTGGCTGATTGGATTAATAAAATTCCCTCCAATTACTCTCATTTTCTTGCTGTTTCTGGTGTGTGTGAGTGTGGTATTGGTGTTTGGCTAATTTTCTGAGTTAGGTTCCTAACAATTTGGTATCATAGCTCCAATCCATAGCACCTAAACCAGTGGATCTAGAGAGGGTGACTACGGTGGAAAAGGGACTGGCGGTGGTCCAGGAGGCGGTCCACGTGGTGGTGACCGAGAATCTTCTGCAGATCCGTGACGAAGTGGCTGGGCTGCATGGTGAACTAGGGGAGGTTCGAACTCAGATGGAAGACGTGCAGGCGGCGCTGCGAAGGATGGAGGCACTGTTGGCGGCGCGGCCGACGGCCGGGGAGGCCGATTGGGTCGCGACGGCGAACGGCGGGACGGGGAGAGGCGAGATCGCGCGCCTCGGGGCGAGGAGAGCCCAGATCGTGACGACCCAGGCAGAGTGGAGGTACCAAATCGGGAGGATCTTCGCCGGGAAGCGCCGATTCGCGAAGATGGAGGCCGCAAGAGGGATTTCCGGTGCCGGAGAGACATGGGTCTTCTAGAAGATCGCAACTACCGGCGAGATCTAGGGCTTAGACGTCTGGGTCAGCGGCGGGGAGAGCAGATCGACGGCGGGCTGAGGGTGGAAGGTGGCCGGGGCTCGCCGGAGAGGGCGGCAGAGCTGGGACGGAGGCGGGAACTGGCGTGGGAGCTGGAGTTTGAGCAGGTGAGGCCCATTCCGGGTCGGGGACGTCATGGGTATCCCCAGAACAGGGAACCCAGCCGGGATCCGGATCTGATTGGGGCCCGAAGAGGTTGGGATCCGAGGTTGGCCCGTGGGGAATGAAGGTGGGAGAACCAGTGAAAGTTCCGCCAAGAGACCCCGGAAAACCACCGGGGATGGGGAGAATTTCGGGGGAGAAAGATCGAAATGCCAAGCTTCGCCGGCGAGGATCCATATGGGTGGTTGTTTAGGGCGAAGCAGTATTTTGATATGTGTGAGATTCCGGAGTGAGACAAGGTTTCAGCTGCCTTAATGTGCATGGTGGGGTGGGCCTTGAATTGGTTTCGGTGAACGGATTCGCAAGATCCGTTTGTGGGATGGAGGGAGTTAAAGGGAACGATTTTGAAACGGTTTAGTAGAGCCAAAGAGGGCAATCCGATGGAGAGATTGATGGTGTTGAGGCAAGTGGGATCGGTAGCAGATTATTTGGACTGTATTGAATTGCTTTCGGCTCTGGTGAGAGGAATGCCAAATGCATTTTACAAGGGAGTCTTTCTCAATGGACTCCGAGAGGATGTTAGAGCGGAGGTGAAGATGCATAAACCGACTACTCTGCAAGAGGTGATGGAGATAGCACAACAAATCGAGGATCGAAATGAGGCGGTGGAGTGAATGGGGTGGTGGAAGAGTGGATGGGTTGGAGGATTGGGAATGTCCTATTCGTTCAATGACGGTACCACCAGCCGGCCTTCGTTTCCGGGGAGCTCCCTTCGATCCAACACCGGTCGGGAAGGGGGGGATGTTGGAAGGGGACGAGCTTCCCTGTCGGGGGCTTCTAGTCCGTCGGGTGGTGGTGCAGGGGGATACCGCCGGATGTCAGAGGAGGAGATGCAACAACGACATGCCCCTGGGCTTTGCTTTAAATGCGATGAGAAGTTTAGCCCCGAGCACCGCTGCAAGAACAAGCAACTCCAAATTCTGTTGGCAATCGAAGATGATCCAGAAATAGAAGGGGAGGTCGAGGAGGAGGGCTTTGATGAAGAATCAGCGGTAGAGAAGGTAGATCTCTTTCTCAACTCTCTAATGGGAGTAAACTCTGCGAAAACCATGACATTCAAAGGATGGATTGGTTCGCGGGAGGTGGTAGTGTTGGTGGATAGTGGAGCTTCTCACAGTTTTGTGTCGAAATTGGTGGTCCAAGAGTTGAGGCTGCCTTGTGATTCCTCGATTAGGTGTTGTGTGCAAATGGGGAACGGAGCGTGTATCAAACAACAAGGTGTTTGCCAGGGAGTAGAGTTGATGATTCAAGGTTACAAGGTGGTGGAGGATTTTTCCCCATTTGAGTTAGGAAGTGCCGATGTGGTGTTAGGAGTGACGTGGTTGCGTAGATTGGGAGAGGTGAGAGCGGATTGGTCCTGATTCACAATGAAGTTTAAGGAGGGGAAAGAGAGGGTGAGTTGGTCAGGAGACCCCTTTTTATGCTACATGCCCGCAAGCTTACATTCGATGGCTCGATCTCTCAGGCCTCACCAAGTAGGAGTATTGCTAGAAGTTTGTGAGGTAGTGGGAGATGGCAAGGAAGGGGCTGCCGAAGCAATTTCCAAGGAGCTACAGGGAGTGTTGGCGCTATTCGGGGAAGTTTTTGAGGAGGTTAAGGGGCTGCTCCCTAAGAGAGTTCGGGATCACCGTATCGTATTGAAGGACGGGGTGGACCCTCCCCAACGTCCGACCCTATCGCTATCCACATTTTCAAAAGGGGGAGATTGAGCGGTTGGTGACGGATATGTTGATTTCGGGGATAATTTGGCCTAGTTGTAGCCCTTATTCGAGTCCGGTGCTCTTGGTGAAAAAGAAGGATGGTAGTTAGCGTTTTTGTGTGGATTATCGAGCCTTGAACCAAGTAACAGTCCCGGATAAGTTCCCTATTCCGGTGATTGACGAGCTCCTTGATGAGCACCACGGAGCACAAGTATTCTCGAAGTTGGATTTGAGGGCGGGATACCATCAAATTTGGATCCTCGAGGGTGATGTGGAGAAGACGGCCTTTCAGACACACGAGGGCCACTATGAGTTCCTAGTGATGCCATTCGGTCTCACCAACGCCCCGGCGACATGCCAAGCATTAACGACCTCGGTATTTCGACCATACCTTCGCCGATTCCTCCTTGTGTTCTTTGATGATATTTTGGTGTATAGCAAAAACTTGGAAGAGCATAGGGAGCCTTTGACTAAGGTGTTGGAGATTTTGGAAAGAGAAAAGCTATATGCTAACAAGAAGTGTATTTTTGGCCAATCAAGGGTAGAGTATCTCGGCCACATAATTTCGGGAGAGGGAGTGGCGGCGGACCTCTCCAAAGTGACGGCCATTCCTACTTGGCCGACACCTCGGAATGTGTGTGAAGTGCGCGGATTCTTGGGCCTCACCAGGTATTATCGGCGTTTTGTGAGGGGGTATGGAGAGATAGCTCGTCCTCTTACCAATTTGCTCAAGAAATGAGGCTTCGAATGGGGAGAAGCGGCAGCGCAAGCCTTTGTGGTCTTTAAGGAGGCTATGACTACCCTTCTGGTAATGGCTATGCCCGATTTCACCAAGCCTCTTGTAGTGGAAACGGACGCGTCGGGGGCTGGTCTTGGGGCAGTGCTCATGCAAGAAGGCAAACCAATTGCTTTCTTTAGTAAGGCACTCGCCGAGGCAAGCCGGGTGAAATCGGTTTATGAGCGGGAGTTGATGGCGGTGGTGTTTGCCATCCAAAAGTAGTGCCATTACTTGTTGGGATGCCACTTTGTGATTCGTTCCGACCAACAAAGTCTTCAATTCCTCATTGATCAAAGGATGCTTCCACCAGAACAATTACGTTGGGTTACGAAGCTTTTGGACTATGACTTTGAGGTCCGATTTAAACCAGGGGCAGCCAATAGGGTGGCGGATGCACTATCAAGGAGGGGAGAGGAGCAAACCTTAGACCTAGTGGCCATTTCCGTGCCCCATTTGGTGGATTTGGCGGATGTGAAGCGGGGGCAGTGGGCGGATGAGTGGCGCTCGGGGGTGATCACTAAGTTGCAAGACGGGGAAATGGTGCGAGAGGGGTTACGTTTGAAGGAAGGGCTGTTGCTCTATAGGGAAAGGGTAGTGTTGCCAAAAGCATCCCCTTGGATCCCTCGTTTACTGCATGAGTTCCATGATTCGGTGATCGGCAGCCATTCGAGGTATTTCTGCACTTACAAATGGTTGGCAAGTAACCTCTTTTGCCCGGGAATGAAGGAGGAGATTCGCGATTATGTGGCCCGATGTGTGACGTGCCAAAGTGCCAAGAGTGAAGCGTTGTCCCCCGCTGGCCTCTTGCAACCTCTCCGATCCCAAACCAAATTTGGGAGGACATCTTGATGGACTTCATTGGCGGGCTGCCTGAGTCGGAGGGTTGGGATACTATTTTTGTAGTAGTTGATAGATTATCCAAGTATGCCCATTTCTGTGCCCTCACACATCCGTTCTCAGTGAAATCGGTGGCCGAATTGTTCGTCCGAGGGATTGTGCGGCTTCATGGGGTTCCTCGATCGATTGTTCGTGACCGTGACCCCATATTCATGAGTACATTTTGGCAGGAG